GTGGATGCCAAGATGAATCAGAAGCTAGTAGCATCAGAATACAATATGAACAGTTAAGTTCACTAAAGCTAAAGCTACAAAAAAAGCTTCAGACTTTGCTGCCAGTTGGATGGATGTCTGATTAACTTACCTTACCTATACTGAATATAGTAAGAGCAATGCTATTCTGAGCCTGGTATGGTGGGTATATTGACTCAAAATCTTATACAGTATACAATAATTTATATTGTGAAAACTCCCAAATTGGTCATATAAACTGTTGGGAGATGGCGACACCGTACAGCAATTTTTGTCTGCTGTTAACACCTGGAGCAAAAATTATTTTCAGGGTCATAAAAGACTAAGTAAACACTATTAGAAAAACATCAGTTAATTTTAACATTAGTACACTATTTTTTTTCTTAATTTTTTTAATTGGCTTAGTACATGACTACACCTTGTTAATATCCTTGTTCTTTATATCTATTATTTCATGTATTTCTTGTTAAATAATTTAACCAATTAGTCTATTTATCTCATTTTGATCAATAATAAGTGTCATTTTTGATTAATCATGAGTCCATGCTGTCTTATCTTAAAATTCTTGACAAGTTTAATTAGTATGTTATTAGTCCTAAATAAATCTTAATTTAAAGTTATACAAAAAAAGCTTTTAGATGCTTTTTTTTCTATTTGTTGTAAAGATCACTCGTTTAGAAAGTATGAATTCATCTTCATACACTTCATACATATTGAAACTAATTTATTTATGTAGAGTTACAAATGCATACTAAAAGAAGACTACACCTCCTTTGTTGCATAACATCATAATTTCACTAAGTGTCAAATGTGAACATTTATTTAAAGGGAAAACAAAGGTAAATGTCAAAAGTTGCATGATATAAAATCTGAAATTCCCATTAGAGTTTTTATTAGATTATCTAATCCACACACTAAGCTCTGGGCTGTCCAATAAATTTTCTATCAGGTCAGGTCTTTTACAGATCTCCTGAGACCAGTCATCATCTGTCACAAAACAAGTCAAAGCATTTTAATCTCACACGTGCTTCTCATTAATATTTCATACAAAGGAAATTTATGGGCTTGGGCTCAACTGCATGTTAGCCAGAGAAAGTGAGAGAAGACAAAGGGGAAGAGGAAAAAAAGAACTGAGCGAAGTTAAACCAAAATTACTTGACTCCAATCCGCTCTTAAAAAAAAAAAAAAAAAAAAAGCGTATCCATGCAAACATTGTGCACTTCCATGGAAAAGTGCCATGTTTTCCCCTTCCTGAAATTAGATCGCCCTGAGGATGAAGCTTTCCTGTATCACCCAGTGACAACCAAGCAGTTACATGATCCAGTCTCTGCTCAAATGCACTCAAACTTAAACAAAATATTACTCCTCTTCTTCTAAAGTTTATGTGCATATTTTATCTCTATACTAAGTACTCAAATATCTACAGCACTTCCTCCATATAAAACTAGAATGAACAAAAGGACTCAAACTAGCAGCTAACTAAAAGTTTATTCACTTAACTTAGAATATTGTGGAAGGATACTATTTTAGAATTTATGGGCATATCTTATGTTTTCTTGTAACAAAAAAAACAAATATGTTGGTATTTTGTACCCCAGGACAGGAGAGTAAGTAGGGTTGTATAATATTAGAAACAAACATGCAACATTGTTGGTGAATATCAAAGTGACAATATAACTTCTGGAAAATATAAAAATATTTAACCTTACTGTGTTTATGTTGGTAAGCCCTAGGTTTGTTGAAATCACAAACACACAGGGTGGGTTTCATGGAGTTTATAGAGGTTTATATGGAGTTTATATTTTCCTTATACTCCAGGCAGTTATTGCAATATTATTATTAATGATGATTATTTACAATAACAATATACTGTGCAACCTAAACAATGAATGGCTAAAGAAGCCATAGTTGATTAAAAGTCTTGGTATTGTGCTCAAAAGAATGATGTAAGGTGTGTCTTCCAAAAATGGCATTAATTTTCTGAAAGATTTACAGATTATAAAAGTACAAAGACGAATTATAGCATTCAGTCAGTAATTTGCGCAACAAGGTATTGCATCTAATCAATCAACCTTTTTTATAACTCTTTTATTAAACTTTTGTTGCAAAGTGCTAAAAACAACAGACTGCCAAAATATCATCATATAAGCATCATTTAAATATTCGAAATAGATTAAAAATGCAACCTTTTATGAAGAAGTCTCCCTCATCCAGCAAAAATTAGCATGGAGAAAAATGGACTAAAGCTCCTTTTCCTGCAATATGTGAATATATTGTGTAGCTTAAGCAGCAGACGTGGCTAATTTTTTTAGTTTACATGTTGTATATTTTTTTAGTACTTCGAAATATGTGCACCCTGCAAAGCCAAACACTATTGAAACAAAAACAGATTTGCCATCGGTTGAAATACGTTTCAGCTAGTAGCAAAAAGCAAAGCTGAATCCTAAACCTTAAGATTCTTCAGGTATTGTGGAACAACCTTTTAGACTGGGAGCTGAAGAAAATCATTTTGTAAGAGTTATACAACATATAGTAAAAGGCAAAGTCTGCACAAAGTTAAAAGGGCAAAGAAAGTAACAATAATGATTCTCTTAAGCTGCATTAAAGATAAGACGGACCCCTCAGTATGTCTATGACTCTTGATTCTTAACCGTACAAACAATTTGAGGCAGACAAAAAAATTATACCCTGAAATATGAAAATGTTGCAATATATCATACATTTTTAGTCTGTGTAAGTGTTCAGCTCCTAAGATGCAAACAAGTTTACATAGAGAAGCAGACACACATGACTGGAGGGGACAGAGGCCACCCTGTTCAACAAGTAGGTCAGCCCAGGTCCAGCAAGAGACGGAGAAAAGGCAGGAGCTGAGTGAAGCAAGATCATTGACCCATGTCACTTTATTCATATAAGCAAACCAATTTTACTTTTTACCATTTGGGTCAAGTAAAACTTTGCCAACTTTGATTTATTTCATTCTAATTCTGAATAGTTGGAGAAAATTATTGTATTTTATGAATAGGGAACTGAAGAATATGAACTACATCTGTATTCTGAAAAAGAAAAGTAAAACTAATGTCACCTAATTAGTAAACACTATCCACCTGTGTATATCTAACTCACTACAAATCCAGCTGTTCCTTCATAGTCTCTGTGGGCTGTTCAAGAACAGTACAGGAAAAATGAAATCAGGAAGACCAAGGAAAACAAGGTCAGAGAAAGGTGAGAGATTAATCCCTGCTTGCAGTTGACCACAAGCAAAGGTAACATAGGAAATAAGTGTCAAGAGGTGCTCTGCTCAGATGAGACACCAATATTATACATTTTTGCTTATATACAAAACAATCTGTGTGGAGGTAGGCTAACATGGAAAATAACCGATTTCACTACCCGATCTGAACCGTACCATCGGGTCATCTGTGCATGTGCAAACAGATATTCATCCAGATCGCCATAATAATGTAATTACAGTACTGGAAGTACCGTATTTTCCGGACTAAAATGTACTAAAAATTTACATATATAAGCTGCACCTGGCTATAAGCCACTGATAACTTCTGAGCTGTCTCCCACCAAACCTGTAGGGGGACATATAGTCCCTGGTGTAGGGAAAAAAAAGAATGCTAGCCTCTGTTAACTTGTTGGCTTGCAAAAGTAAGAGCTCCTTACTGAAAGATTCAGCTTTGTCAGCTCTTTATTTCAGATATGCAGGAGTTGAGCCCAGTCTCTCCATTGGTTTGGCAGCTTTAATGAGGCAAATAAATGTCAAGATGTTTGAATTTGGGATATTTGTTCCCAGTCTCGCCTGCTGCTAACATGTTCTTGTGCTAAATGAAAACTATACCCCTTAATTTTTTCCAACTTTGACTTCCCCCTCTGGTGGTTAGGAAAAATCATAAGAAAAGCTGCATCTTCTTATAAACTGCATGGTTCAAAGCATGGGGGGAAGTAACGGCTTATTATCCAGAAAATATGGTACTTCTTTCTGTCCTGAAATCTTCAAATAATCTTAAATGATATCACATAAAAATTATTAAAATCTTTTCTGAGAGAAGTGAATGTGTTTTACATTGTCTCTGTAAAATTGCTTGTCTGATTAATCACAGGGCATGCTCAGCGCACTATGATGACACCATTTTTAACTGTATTTTAGTTGTTTCTTTATTTGGATTAAACACTATACACTATACAAGTAAACCAAAATACAAAACATAAGACTCTTCAAATTATCTACAAATCCCAAATCCCCCAAAAAATTTGCTAGCAGAAGTAGGGTAGGATCCTATTTACAGACACAAAAAACGGCTGTTATTAACCTTTTACACATTTTACTTCAAAAATGTTTTTCAGTCATTTTAGATCAAGTGCATTCAGTGGGGACCCGGTTGTATTACTGGTTGCGTACGTTCAAATGAGTTGCTGGGACAGATCGTGCTACCGGTATAGATCGGGTAACAACAACCCTGAGCAATCCATTCCCAAAGTGAAACAATGCGATGAGTCTGTCACGTTGAAGGGGAAACTCTTCTTGAGCAGGGAAGCTTTACAGAGAATAGGAACATGCATGGAGTTAAACGCAAAAAACAAAAAAAATAAACCTGTAAGATATTGTATAAGCATTGAGACTAGGCTAGAAGCTCACCCTATCTCATAACGAGTAGTAGTAGTAGTAGTAGTAGTAAACAAGTTCAGTCTCAGCTGCTGAAACCCAGCATTTCTCCAACATTCAACATGAAGCCTTTTGTTTTTTCCAAACAATAATCATTGAATAGATAGACATTTGTGTCTGTAACATGAGACGGAATAGGATGAAGCTCAAGAACTACAAATAACGTAGACAGTTATGTAGAAGAAAAGCAAAACGTAAATGTAGCCGTGCTTAATTTAAAATATTTGCACAGGAGAGGTAGGTATATCCACCAATTGAAAAATGCATGCGTCATTAAAAGAGCAAAGTAATGCATGTCTAAGGCGCATCTTACCTGAGGGCAGTCTTTGATGTAATGGCCCTTGTTGAAGCACAGGTGGCACAAGTAGTTGGGTGGGGGTCTTTTGTTGGGTTTCCTGGGCTCTGAAGACAGGGAGAGGTCTGAGAAATGGTCCGTCAGGGAGTTGAGTCCATCCACTATGTTGTTTAGGGAGCCATAGGGGGATACATTCTTATAAACGTTGTTGTTCAAGGCCTAGAAAACATCAAGAAGAGACTCATTTTAAACACAGTAATCTGACACTTTGAAAATATGTTATCATCTTTTTTATCTTTAGTAGATTTGCACATCATATTTAATGGTTCTATTTTCTGCTATTAGAGAAAAAAAAAAAAACATGTGAGGCCTCCAAGCCTCTAAGACCATTTTTCTTATTTAATTCAGAACATCTGGCGCTGTGCCCAGCTGTGCTTATTAACTGGAAAAGTACTGAGCATGTTCATGGAGCAAGACAGGACTTTACAAAAGATGACTCACTGTAAACAAGATGAGAGACATGCTCCCTGACCAGTCCGTGGAACATCAGCAACACACTGCTGGAGCTAAACTAGTCTCTGTCAGCTTGTCATCTGCGACAGAAACCAGCCTCGCATGCAACGAGACCCAATTAATTCATAGAGGATGCTCTTTGAATATTAAAAACAGGGAAATCGTTGCATGCGCTCCTTTGCTTTCCTTTCCATTCCTGTATTATTCGGTTAAATCCCAGAAGAGAAACACAAGACAGAAGCCTGCCTCTGGTGGAAATTAGGCAAGTTTTAGAGCAAACATACATATTTTAAAAAGCCTCTCATTAACCCAGAGAAAGCTTTGCAATGGATCTCAGCTGACATCTGCCTTAAATCTTGACACTTAAAACAAACATGTAAAATTTCAAGTAAAAACATTTCATCGATTGTGAAATCCGAACTTGTCTCATCCCTCCCAGCAATGCCATAAGTTTTGAGTCTCGGGTTTATGTCTGGTCTGAAATTTTGCTATCGGTTTTTATTGTTTCAAAGCATAGAAACTTTAGCCATAGCAGCTTTGCCATGGGTGAAGGCCAAGTCTTTATCTGGAGACTGTAAGGTTGTCTTGCTAAACAGCTCCAGCCTTAAGACTTATGTTCATTTATTACATACAGCCATTGTAAATCAAGACTTACGGCTCTGGAGTTTTCCGATTTTTTTTTCCCATCTGTGTGTGTGTGTGTGTGTTTCTCTGCTGTTTCTCTCGTCGCTGAAACATCATCACTTTGGAGAAGACTGCAAAGTTATTTCAACTATACAACACAGGAAACTTTACTGTGTTTACAATGTCACATTCTCCCCGCTTGGCATTAAACCAATATCTGTCTGCACAAGTGAAAGAGATTTCACACACCTCTGCTAATGGAGGGGAGGAGTTGGTTTATATTGTGCAACTGTGTGTGTATAAGTGAGTGGATGCAAGAGATAACTCTAAAGAGGTAGCAATTCAGCAGTTTAGAGATAATTCAGAAAGATTCTGTCAAATGGTAGGACTCCAATCTCATGTAGGAGCTCCAGCAAAGCAATACCAGTAATAAACCAGGTATTGGTTTACTTTTCACTGGCATAAGCAAGAGTGTTTCTAAAACCATTCGATGCAAAGTTAGTGTATTTGATAGACTTAAAACCTCTTGGGATAATTCGACTGTTTTGTTGTGTGAATATTTTTTGTGAAATTGTGCTATGAAATGTTTGTTTCATTGCGTATTAATCTTAAAATGTCTGCATATTATCAAAGTACAGGAGAGTTTACCTACACAAGGACATTATTTAGCTTAGAATTCATGGGAACAGATGTAGATCCCCAGCTTAATTTAATACAGCTGTTTAAAACACCAGTCAGGGATTCAGTGGGAATGTTTTAGTTTCCCAAACATCTACCGTAATCTTCTACTGGCACCAGTAGCTCTGCAAACAACTCAACTGCAGCAGCAGTTATTAAAAATAACTAACCTGTTTTTTTCTGCATTCAAGTCCTAAGTCTCTGATGACTAAATGAAGGCTTAATTCAAATACTTTCAATTCAGTTTAATTACTGTATATATAGCGGATATTCACAACACGTCATCTCAAGGCACTTAACAGTTCACCAGCTCATACAGTCAAATTGATTTAAAGTTTTCCATCTAAGGAAAACCAGTTGATCGCATCGACTCATTGACTCCAAGGCAATCCCTCACACTAAGCATGCTTGTAGCGACAGTGGAGAGGAAAAACTCCCTTTTTATAGGAAGAAACCTCCAGCAGAACCAGGCTCAGTGTGAGCGGCCATCTGCCGAGGCCGACTGGGGTTCAAGGAGACAGAAGCAGATCCAGTCAGTCACAGTCAGAGAAACAGGACTACACTAATAAACAGGCCGATCTCCAACATCTATAAACAAAAGTGTTTACTTTACACATTCAAATTAAGATAACAGTTTTGCAAAAAAAGATGTACAAAAAAAAAATCAAAAATGTAGCAAACAGCTAAAGCTGTCGGTAACTCAAACTGAAACACATGAAGGTGCGTCTGTTTGCATGTGTCGTACAGAAAACAAATGAAGCAATCATGTATTTTCATTAATCTCCCTGAGATAGACTCGGGATGTCCGCTGATGCAAAGGATTGTGGGAAACCATATAGCTCCTGAGCTCCATATCGGCATGTCAGAAGGTCCCTATGCTAAATGAAGTATTGATAGCAAGCATGAAGAGTTTCCTTCAATACTTCCAGCACTTTTGCCACAGCGCTTATCATGGCTAACACTCACTAATTTAGTATTAGGATTGAACCTAAGACTTTCCCAGCACACATATGCGATCTAGTATACCTAAAGCAGAGCTGCTATAGCTTCTGATTTCAAAATCTTTTCATTTTACACATTCTATTTCTAAATATTCAATTTCAAAAGTAATTGAAAGGTACCATAACCTACCACAAATATACATAGGCCAATGTCTTTACTTTACTTTTTTATTATTATTATTTGTTTGTTTGTTTTATGAGTTTCTGCTTTTATTTTGAAAAAAAAAAACAACAACAGAAGAATCTTTCTAACTTAAACAGTAAAAAAAAAAGATCAGATGTAATTTTGGGGGAAACTGTTGTTATGTAACAAATACTTCAGTTTCAAATAAATCAATGTGTTAGTTATAGCAATTTTACTATTAACATAAACAGATAAGCATTACCATTAATGGCCCATGCTTAACTTATGTCCTTTATTAATAAATAAAACAAACCCTTCTATGTTAGGATCTCGGCATTTCTGTCAAAGCTAAGGTCTGTGACTTACTTTCTATGAATGCATAAGGCCAGGTCACACAGCTTGCATCTGACTCTGCAAGCTTCAATGCAAATTTATTTTCCTGTCACACTGACTGCGTAGAGAATCCCACTTCTCATAGGGTGACCAGATGTCCAGGACTGTCCCCCTTTTTCACTTCTCTCCCAACTATCACACTAATTGAAACAACACCCCGCATTTCACAGGGTCCAACCATGAAAAGTAAAAAAAAAAAAAAAAAAAAAAAAAGATCAGAATGCCGCTTATCTTAAATTTAAAGAAACATCGCTGCAGTCAATGTCGCAGATCTGCACCGGCTGTCAATTAAAATACAAATCCAGTGCCTCATGTCATGACCAACTTGTGCATGATGCTCTTAGAACAGAACGGAACAAATATATGATTTTAATAAATAAATAATAATAAATGCAATACGGAAGCATTTTGAGTAAAGAAAAGGCTGTGGGACTAAGAGAGGCCATAGAAAGTTAATTCTTGCATTACTGGGCAGCTAAGTGTCTCAGTGTGATATTCACCCAAGCAGATGTCACAGTAAGAAATGTTCGAGGTGGTCTGTTCTATTTTCAGTGGAGTATTGAGAAAGAAAACCAAATCAAACGAAGCTGCGAAATCTCATCTCCCGAACTTTACATGCTCTGTTCTCATATCTTGTTTCATGAAGAAAAATCAATGGTACACAGTCGCTTCCTAACTTTATTTTCTTTGTAAATAATCATTGGTTTCTGTGTAAATAACATCCTAATGAAGAGTCGACAATGATTTCAAGACTATGAGATCGGATAATTTGGGTAATACAAACTGAAGATAGATATTCAAGGGTAGGAATCAAATGCTTATAAACTTTTAACTTAAATCACCTAAAAAAAAAAAAAATCCTATACTGTCTCTTTAAGAATTACTATTCACTGCAGGCTGAAGTGATCTAAGCAAGTTGGGAACATCTGCGGCTGTTTAAACAGATCCAAGGGAGGAGTTGTCACAATGAGGGAGAGTTAATCAAACACTCATATGTTTCAAGCAGTATGGAGCTGTCTGGTAGATGTGACTAGTATGTAGAACCAGCCCACAGTTCAAAGATATGCAAAATGGAGAGAAAGATTAAAAAGTTTCCTTTAAAAAGGTTTCCCAGACCATGAGATACTTTATCAAAAGTGACAGATATTTTCTGTGCAAGGCATCTTTGAACTTCCAATCTTATTCCAATTAGACTACAAAAACAATAGAATTTTGCATTACTCATCTCATCCATTACAAGTCTGGAGTGGGTTATTTTACTTGGCCTAGGCTGTGCATTAAATTGAAAATGACCCCACCTTTTAAACTGTTTCCAGACTATGTGTGTTCTCACAGTTTGAAAACACTTTACAAACCATATGGGCTGAAGGGAATTACACAACTGCATGTGATATGCCATGTGAAAACACAATTTCCTGCAGATTTTGAATGGTAAATGTGTTGAAAAGCTCTCCCTGGTTACCATATTAAAGCACCAGCAGGTCTAGTTGGTGTACATACCATCCATTACTCCAGTGTCCAAAATGTGACCTCTTGAAAACTAAACTGAATTGTAATTAACACTTATTACTGTGTGTTTAAAAAAAATAAAAGCATGTTCACAGTGTAAGTGTTTTTCTATGGCATGCTGTATGTATACACATGTGTTTAGGGTTCTGGGGTGTGGTTGCCTGTCTGGGTGCAGCTTTTTTGCTCATTGCGGTCTAGAGTATCAGATTAGCCCCGTTACACATTATAAGCATATTTGTCCCTAAAATTACTCGGAGATACAAAAATAGACAATATGTAAACAAGAACAGATTTTTGTTTGCACAACCTGGTCTATTTGAAGGAGCAGACCCTAGCAGTGGCTGGTTCTCTCCAGGCAGAGGAGAGCTGGCCTGGGACGTCTATTTTCATCTGTAGCTCATAA